ATAAAGTAGGTTTATAAATTTTATTCGTGTATATATTGTATTACGAAATATGTAATATTTATTTTCGGTAAGTAAATTAGATCCTTCTACTTTCTAGGCTGTAATGAAACAAGTCCGACTGCCAACTAGTGTTTTTGTTGGGGTGGTAAGACACCCCCCAAGACCCCCTCCGGGACGGCCCTGAGTGTGTAGTTAATTTTCATGATAATAAGTCCAATTGGCAGATGGGATAATAATATTAATAATTATTTTAAAAAATGTATTAATAATATTCCTGAACTATCCATTATTTTGTTCTTGGAATCTTTATTAATTTAATGTTTATTTTATTTAATAACGGTCGCACCTTGTTTTGATTTATACGCTATATGATCACGTGTGGTCATTATAACATTTATTTTTAAATCCAAATGTTTTAAGTAACGATGTACTAATAATGATTATGTTTTGATGGTGACGTAAAGAACAACATTTCGAATCGATTGATATATTTTTTTTACCTTTAAAAGATTTTTCATATTTTTAAATATTTTTCTTTTCCGATTATTTATTCTATAAATTTACCATTGTACATTCAAGGAATAACATCAAAATTATAACGTGGCCTAATGGGAAAAACAATAACAGCTGTCAGTGGTCGTATGGTAGTCAACGTGTTTATCATTTTTGTCCTAAGCTTGTTTTTTTTTACTTGATTTTGAATTTATATTAGACCTTTTTATTTTATATGAACATATGAGATACAGAAACAATAGTTATTTATTGTTGGCATTATTACTCCCTTGTATGATTACATTTGTAAGTTGTTCCATATTTCATTTTGTCATTTATATCTATTTTTTTTTTATTGTATATTGAAAGACTATTTCACTTTGTTATAGCATAATAATTTAATAATACATGGTCTACAAATTTCCTATATTGTATTAACATAGTTGCTGGTTGTCCCTTTAGTATTTTTATTTGTTAGTCATATTGTAACTTATATCTGTTTTTAGATACTATTCAATTATTCATCTTTTTATTTTATAATAATTTAAATATAATTTATTATTTAGAGTATTGATGAAGATGATATACAACAATTACGTTTGGCTGCTCTTATGACAATAAAGAGAAAGTCCACTGTTGAATTAACTAATTCTCCAGAAAAAACAAAAGACGAAAAAAGACATATTGTAACTTATATCTGTTTTTAGATCCTATTCAATTAATCATCTTTTTATTTAATAATAATTTAAATATAATTTATTATTTAGAGTATTGATGAAGATGATACACAACAATTACGTTTGGCTGCTCTTATGACATTTAAGAGAAAGTCCACTGTTGAATTAAATAATTCTCCAAAGAAAAAAAGACCAAGAATTATATTTGAACATAATAATAATAATTTACTCATTAATCAAGGTTTGTAAACATATTTTATTGTAAATATTAATTATGTATAATATTTATATTATTATTTTTGATAATATTGTATTAATTTTTTATTTTTAGAGGATGGATTTAATTATCATAAAAACGAAAAAAATAAAAAAACGATAATAGAATCTAAAACTTTAGAAGTATTTAGAGATGATGATGAAAAATATATTGAAGAAGATGAAGACGAAGAAGATGAAGGAATTCAAGAAAGGCAGCAAATATATGATAAAAAAGTAACTATACAGCATAATGATCTTGTTGATCTAAGAACAGAGTTAAAAAGAAGAAAGGCCCTTCGTTTAAATACGGTAATATTCAAACTATTCTATTTGATTAACATAAATTAATATTTCAAAAACAATTAATTTTCTCATTAAAATTTTAGATTCAAGTAGAAGTTAAGAAAAAACCAAAATCGTTTTATCCTGCCCGGTTATTACAGTCTGCAATTAGAGATGTTGTAAAATCAAGGTAATATTTACAAACTTAAGTTACAACAATTATAAATTAAAAATAAATTAAATCTTTACATTTTATCATTTTATATTTAGTGTTAGTAAAAAATGTTAAAAAGTGAGTTTAAAAATACTGCTTTTTAATTTAATATTTATTAAAATAATTTTATAAATTAAAATATAATGCATGGACACTTTTTTAACTGAGTGTATAAATTATATATTTATATTATATTAATATATTGTAGAAGTGTAGCATTAATAATTACTGGCTACAATATACAGTCAGTGTCAACATTTATAATTTAACATTCCAAATTAGTTGTATATATACAAATAAATACTAATAACAATATTATTGTACAACATATTTTTAAACTTATGGTTAATTTGCTAATCTGTCAAATTTTTATAGTTAAAATAATACGTAATTAATATTTTTCAGCAGTTCAAATGAAGTAAAGAGAAATAAACATTCTAAAATTCCAGAAATAGTTATTAAAACTGAAGGTATACATTATGTATATACAATATTTTAATCTGCATAAGAATTATTTTTTAAAAATATTTTATGCAAGTTAATTTTTAAATTGAACCATAGTGTTCATATTTTATGAAATATAGCTTGGTTAAATAGAAAAATAATGACTTTGTGTATATATATAAGTATTATTGTAAACTTTTGTATCTTATGTTAATATTTCTGTAATTTTAAATACATTTTATTTAATACTACAATAAAAAAACATTTTTAGGAAATTTAGATGGCCGAAGAGTATTTGTGATGAATAGAAATTCTAAGACTAGAAGAGACTTAAGTATTTTACATCCAAAATGTAAATTTTTTTCTTAAAAATTTACAAATTATAAAATTTGTAAATTGATATTATTTATTCTAATAGTCTTTCATTTTTAAATTCTTAATGTTTTCCATCTAATTTTTTTTATAAAAATTTTTTTGAAAAAAAATAATATAAAATGTTTATTTTGATTTGTATTTATTTAGGTCAAGAAGTTTATGACAGTGAAGGAGAATCTTATACTAATGTCAAAGTTTCCATGTATTTGAGAACAGTTGTTAATAGTAGTAACACAATTCAAAAAGGATTTAAGAAGATCAAAAAGCCTATCCTATGGCCGTGAATACATATTTATAATAACATGATATCAGGAAATAGCTATAAAAAAAAATGTGTATATTTTAAGTAATTTAATATAAATTATAAAATTGATTGATTTAAATTAGTTAGTTAAATTAGTCCACCTCTCGAAAATGAGGGGGAACGTCCCCATTGCCGCCCTCCTATACGACCATCTAATAGAGTATGATCAGTTAATTTCTCGAATACTGTTGATTATTTTTAATGATGCAAATTTATGATTTCTACAAAACCAATGTTTCCATGTGGATTGATTATGCGAGTATAATAAAATAAAATAACAACTATACTTTTTTTATATTAGAAATCAATACAATAATTTGTAACATAATTATTAATCATTTTTCAACAAATATAATATTATAAATTAGAGCGCGGATTTGTATGCACTTAAAATCATAAAAATATGCAAAAAATATGCAGTCAAAATCATGAAAATATGTAAAAAATATGCAGTCAAAATTATGAAAATATGCAAAAAATATGCAAGAATTTTTTATTTATTAAAATTTATAATTCATCTTATAATAATTAATTACTTAAATACTTAATAAAAAAATGTAGGGAATTTTCTGAACTTAATTTATTTTTAAAATTTTATTTATTATTAAAATGAATAATCAAATGCATTTCAAGTTTATCTTCTGTGAAGCTATGTTATCTATCGGTTAACATATTTTTAAAGACTGAAAACGAACGTTCGACGTCAACAGAAGTTATTGGGGCATATTTGAAGCAAGTGGTATATCGATAACCGACTGACACAGCAAGAGCGATTGAGTTTACGTCGTAATCGATTATTTATTGTATAACTAAATATATATACATAATTTATTATTTAGGGACTATGAAATTTAGTTTTAATTTTTCTACTTGACAAAATATTATTTTATACATTTTTTTTTAAATTTTCACTTCAATATGCAATAAATTTTGTATTTTGCCAAAATATGCAAATATGCAAAAATCTCTAAATATGCAGAAATATGAAAAAAAAAATTTCACCATTAGCTTCAAATTATGATGAATCGTGGAGATAACTGACAAAAATCCAAAAATATTAAAAGGAAAAAATATGCAATTGCATAGAAATCCGCTCTTAATTATAATATATTAAATACTTTATTATTATAGACTATTATAAAAAATTAAAATTTTTGTTCATATTGAACTGTTTTTGATATATTTTTCGAAAAATTCACCCAAGAACTTTTTAATAATCCGTCAACCATACAGGTATCATAAATACCAATGATAAATATTTAGGTCAGTCCAAACTTGTTTGGATCCATTCAAAACTTAAATCCAATGAATTCGGATTTTTAAAAATCAGTAAAAATAAACAATTTTTAATAATATATTAATTGATTCATACATAAAAAAAAACCTTATACAATTTAAAATCCAAAAATAATCCTTAAAATTGTTCACTCATTAACATACCCGGTTTTTGCAAATTTAGGTAGTCGATAGTTTACTAAGCATTTTACACAATCTGAGCTGTGGTGAATTAGTGTTCGGTGTATATCCAATAATTTGTCCAAAAAACAAATACTTTAGTTAATTTACATGACACGCACCTATGAATTATATAATTACATTTATGTTTATAGGATATTAACATAATATAGAACATAACTAAAGTCATTAAATTATTGCTAAAAATTAATCTAGTGAAATCCCTCGCACATGTATAATTAAAGAACTCCGTAAGGATACCATTTTAATATTCTTATAAATAATTAAAATATTTTATTGTGAATTACCTACACTAATAATTCAGTATTTACAAAAAAGGTTATTAACATAATAATAAATAAGGTGTTACCTACCTTTTAATTGCTTTAATTTTAATTTTAATTTAATTTTAAATCAGAGAGATTTTTTTTTGCACAGATTAATTTTTTCATCAAATTTAAATTCATAATTATAAACTGGTGTGTCATGGTAAATAAGATGGTTAAATCCATGATCAAAGTCTTCTGAAAAAAAACCATGAATTTACAACTAGTCAATTAATAAATATAATAACAATTAACCATTACTATAATTATTTGTTAACAGAAAAAAATACACAAGTAATTGATTCATAATATCCAAATATATACTAAACGTTATAATTTATTTTATTTTACTTACATTATAAACATTTTCCAATTTAGTTGTTCAACATTTCAGATTACTTTAGTCGTAATAAAAACTTTTCACTTTATTAATAACTCCTTCATCATAATGACTCTCAAATAAATTTCTAATTTCTTCAGTTGTACTAATAAGTTTCTTCGTTGATTTTTTTTAAAGTATATGTATAAAAATTCATTTTGTTCAATGTAAAATTTAAAAAAATTAATAATTTACCTGTAAATGCAATCATTCCTTCTAAATTGCTGATCCCGGTAATGATAGGTACTGGTGATACAAATTCAGTTAAAATATCAGGATAATCAGGTAAAAATCTGTCACTAACTGTTTTACTTTCAATGAATAGAACAAATTCATAATTTCGAAAATCGGCGACACCCTTTAAAATAAAAAATAAATATTCATTCTAACTTCTAGTAAACAAAAATAGTCTTAATAAATGTACCCAGTTAATATATCGTACCTACTAACAAGCATTTTCTAAGAAAAATCACTCAATGATATGAGTAGGTAATGATCAGGGCTCGGAACTTTATGCATTTGCATCTTTCTCAGGAAACTGCATATTTCAAATCTGATTCGATACAAATTCGTTTCATGAACCATACAGTTGAAATACAAAAGTTGATGTTGCATATTTTTGCATATTTTACCAAATTTATATGATTATGCATATTTAAAGATTTTGAATATATAAATGCATTTTATGGTAAAAATTTATAAGAAATCAACAACAATTTTTTGATAATTGAATATTGTAAATTAAATAATTTAAAAATAAATAGCCGCCGCACACTGTTTCCTATTCTATATTTGCTATGCTATCAATCATGCTCGCCCGCATGGTTTATAGGTTTTTACTAAGAAATAAGAATTGGGTCGTTACTCTTACCGTAATGACCGCCCAGGTTTTATTTATATTAAAGTCGCTCATTAGATAAAATCGTTGTATATTCGTGGTGTGTGTTAGTATGTGTTTGATCGTGTGTCGAAAACATATTCGATAACGGTGGTCTGTTACTTAAATAAATTAGTGTGTTCGTAGTTCGTATTGTTTGCTTACCGTGCTCGATTACCGCTTATGTGCCACGTAATATTCTGATTTTAATATTTGTTAAACAAAAATTAAAATGCCTAAAAAAAAAAAATTTAAGTAGTCGTTTAAATACTTTCGTGTCTGAGTTCGGTAAAAATGTTTTTAGTATTGACACTAGGGTATTATTTTGCAAATATTGCGAAACGAAAGTCGATTCGGATAGAAGATCCAGCGTAATACAGCACTTGAAAACAGAAAAACATTTGTGTTCTGTTAAACGTAAAGAAAATCAACAAGAGACCAAGTGCCAACAACTATTAACCAATGATTTACCGTCTAAAAAATCGAAGTTCAACCTGGATTTATGCAAAGCTATGGTCTCGGCTAATATACCACTAAATAAACTATCAAATATAGAGTTTCGGACATTTTTGGAAGTTAATTCTGGAAAAGATGTCCCCACAGAATCAGTACTTCGAAAATTCTATTTAGACGACTGCTACAACGAAATGATGGAAAAAATTAGGCAACGTGTTTTCGACCGAAAAATTTGGGTGTCACTTGATGAAACAACAGACACAGAAGGTCGGTATATAGCTAATGTAATAATAGGGACTTTAGAAGAGGATACTGCTGGTACAATTTTTTTACTGAATACTGAAGCACTAGAAAAGACCAATTACTCTACAGTTTAAAAAAATTTATAAATGTATGTTTATAAATGTCTATGGTTAAATCATTTCATTCATACAAATTACTTTTTTTATTATTTCTGCCAAGAGTATTTAAGTATTAATATTAATAAAAAAATTATAAAAAAACAGCCTTTTTTAACGTACTTCTTTTATCGCGATTGAGAAGTATTTATAAATATTATTTAAGTATTTCATAATTTTTAATATTTAATCCATATTTCAAATAACAATACATACGCGCTCGCAGGGGGTAAAAAGGGTCATTGCCCTTACTGGGAATTTTTGTTTCAAAACTTTTGTTAATTTAATAACACGCATATTTATTATAAAATAATTTTATTGAGATCCATTTATGAATTTTAGTAAAATTTATTATATTTTTAGATAATCTAAAATATATAATCTTGAACGTATTTATTAATATATAATGTTTACACATGATTGATAACGCTTAAAATTATAAATTCTCCCGAGTACAGATTTCTATGGTATTTGATTTTGTTGTCATCTATTTTTAGATACACGTTGCTTTGGCCCTTAGAATTTCAATCTTGCCTCGGATGGGATTTTAACCTGCGGGTGCGCTTGCATTGTTATATTTGTACATGGTTGTATTTTAACATGCGCTATAGCCTAATAGTTTTAGTAAAAATCGTTTTGAAACTTAAATGAGAGTGTATAAAAACTATTACAACTTTAACAGACCTTAGTATTCCATCGGTTTATGTTTTAAAATAAATTGTTGTACACAAAAAACATTTAAATTTAAATATTTTTTGGCGGTATACCGTGACGGGAGCAACGATGAGACAGATAATCTATGTCCAATATGACTTGTCTTATTCTATTCACGTTTGTTAAATATTCTTATTTAATTATTAAATTATCACCGAGAACTCATTCCAACAGCCGTAAGTGCATTTCATTCAAACCTGACGGGTCCGTTATCCTTTACGGTGTAATTATTGTATTTCCGTAAATCGAAACTCATTACCATATTGTTTGTGTTTCCGACGAAATGGCCACCAGGTTAAAGTATTTGTGCTTGAAATGTATACAGATCAAAGTGTACACCAATTATTTTAATCTTTCGCGGAGCTTAAGTATGTATACTAAATTGTTAAAATTCTAAGACGAATTGACATAACTTTGTACTTGTATTTGAAGGTGTTACGAGCCATGGTAAACATGCAGCCACTGTTCACCAACGTCATTTCCATACGTCGCCTATCAATTGGAATAATGATGACTCTGGAACGGAGCGCGATCATACAGGTCAAACAGGCATACTCTGCCCAAATTGCAAAACTACCAGCTCCAATTTAGAGTTATTTTTAAGTAATATTATACATAGCATATGCGTAATGAAACAAGTAATCTATACTGTTGTTATGTTATAGCTTCCAATCGATTTTTGATATGTCAGCGTTGTTATCATATATTCAAAGTGATTTCTGCTGAAGAAAATAAATACAAACCACCTCCAATTCCAAAAGAAGTTAGTAATAATGTTTCATGGATAAGGTACCTACCTTTAATGTTATATCAGTTGGTTGGAAATTGTGAGTTAATAGCTATTAAAATGATTCCCTTTAAAATTATTGTTAAAACTATTAATAACGACACTGGTTTTCACAACATTCTATGGTATTACTAAACTTCTAACATCTTATGATATTTAAAAGTATGTGAATTCTGTAGTTATATTGGTTAATGTGACTTGACTTACCTCATGAGATGGTTGTATTTCTTGGTCTACTTCATTATCATAACTAAAGACCGGATTTATATTCTCTCAAAATACCTTAAATATGATGCTAATATTCTCTAAAAAACCTTCAAATATTCTTATTATATTCTCTTAAAAATCTTAAAAATATGTAAAAATATTCGAAATTATTAAAAAATAATCAAAAAACATCAATACATGGTTTAATATACATTTTTAAAAAAAAATTTTTTTCCAACATTCTTTTAATCATGAGTAGAGCAAGGACTTTCATGCACTAAAAAATCTTCAAATATGCATTTAAAAATATGCTCTTATGCATCAAAAAATTAAAAATATGCAGTTAAATATACTCTTAAAAAAATTAATTTATTATTACTCACTATAAGTTTTAACTAGATTTATTTTATTAAATTGATTTGGAATTTCTTTTGAATGTTGGATCCCAATCTTCTTAATTATTATTCTGCACATAATAAAACAAAAAAGGTATTTTAAAATAATTGTTGAATTATTCTCAAATATTCACCTTACTTAAATTAGAATTGCACTGAATTATTAAACACACGAAACTAACACACACGCGGTAAATCTTCTAGAACTAATCTAATCTACCCACTGACTATAGATACTTGATATCGTTTTTAATTTATCGTTTTATATTCGATTTGTATTATAAAAATACAAAAATAGACATAATAAATATTAGGGATGGGCCGACACCACTTTTTACCGATACCCGATATTATAATCACAAGTAAAAACTAAGTTGATTTTTAATATATTACATAAAAAAATCATCTTTTTTGGCAAAACCATGAACTGATACTAAAATTAATCCGATACCACAAACCAATACCCGATATTATAATCACAAGTAGTTTTTGCGGTATCGGTTCAAATTTCGGTTTTGAAAATAAACCGATACCAATATTTCCGATACCACCAATATCGACCGATACCATGTATCGGTTCTATAATCGAACCACCCCTAATAAATACTGACCATTATTATTATTTTAAGATAAAATTTATCTCTTCGTCTTTATAAGTTTATAACAAATTGTTGACCTTGATTCATAAAAAATATTCACCAAAGCGCATGATTTTCGATAAACCATAAAAATATGCACTAAAAGCTTAAAATATGCTCTTATAATCAAAAATATGCTCCTTAAACTAAAAAATATCCAAATATGCAAAAATATGCACTAAAAACTTTGAGTATTTCATCATAAACGTTATGAAATGTATTGTGTACATACTAAGCATACGATAAAGTTAACTAGAAAAAATATGCAAATGCATGAAAGTCCTTGCTCTAATCATGATGTATATACATAGTTGCGTATTATAATAGAATACTATTGTACTTCAGTAAGAGTAGGAATATAGTAAAAATATTACAGTATAGTCTATAGCAAGGGTCGCCAACGTTTTAAGTGAGCTACATTTGACATTTAAGTACCTAGTAATTGACATCCAGGAAAATTTAGATCTTTAATCTTTAAATCTAATATTTCCATTATCCAATTAATTTGATTATTTTACGCAATCGACCAATAGTGGTAAAATTAAATTTTACAACGATCAACTGGTTGGCGATCCCTGGTCTATAGTATTAAAATTTAAAAACAATATTTCTTTGGTATATTTTAATTAAATGTTGTATTAACACAATTGTCATAATATTAAAAATTAACAAATAATCATATATATATATATTAAAATATAATAAAAGAAAAAACATTGGTTAACAGAAGGTAATCCTTAAATAATAATAATTTAATACAAGATATAAAATAACAATATATGTTTAAAAAAAAAACAATATTTCTTTGGTGCATACAATGGTAAATATTTACTTTCTGAAGAATAAAAAAGAAACTTGAAATAGGTACTATTTAAATTTTATTATATGAATTAACAATAATATATTTTTCATATTATCTGTACTCATATTAGTTCTTCTATCGCTTAAAATTTGTTTATAGAAACTAAATGAAGGTTCAACATCAACAGATATTAGAGGTGCAAACTTCATGTCAACAACTTCATTAGGTGTAAAATATTCTGGGAAATCTTCTTTGTTTCCACATAAAATGTTCCCAACTTTTACTAACATTTGGTAGCCTTTATTTTTTTAATATAATTGAGACACTTTAGTATTTTTATTATGTTACTCGTTTCACCAGGTATATTGGTAAGTTTGCAAATAACAATTTGTACAATCTCCAATTATGAAACAAAACTCAAATATTCTAAAATATGCTAAATGGGCTAAATATTCTTTAACCTATGATATACTCTCAAATATGGGAAAAAAACTTTTTTTTACAAACTCAGAATTGAATGAATCGTCCACATTTTTTACTCTCATACAACTGCATAGACCAAGTAACGATATGTAAAAACATATAAATCCGGTCTTTAGTCATAATTAATGATTTCTTGTAGGTAAAAATAAAATAAGAATTAATCTATTATTGCATTACTGTTGTATAACCTATATTTATAATATATTTATATGTAAAATAACATAATAACAAATTTTTTTGTTACAAAATATTTAAAAATAATAATTTAATTTAAATAATTTACTCTCCTATTTTTTTATTTTTTATGTGAAATATCAAACTTAAAAGTTATATAAGTTCAGTTTTGTCCATGGTCAATACATTTTAATTTCATCAAAATTATCATTGAATTATAATATTGATAATACCTATTTTTATAGAATATAAAAATTAGTATATTAGTTTCAAAGTACCTACAAATATGAAAAAAAAAAAAACAATAATAGATTTTAACTGTAGATATTACAAAATAAATACTGATTTACTAGTTAGTTAATTATGTGATCAATTTAAGTAAAAAATTGGTTGAGATTTATAAAAATAATATTACCTAAACTAACAGTAAGTATTAAATATTATTAAAATACTTTTGATACAGATTTTTCTAAACCTGAATAATTATGTGATTGGTCAAGAGTTGGCCAAGAAAGTGTTGGCTGTGGCTGTATATAATCATTGTAAACGTATTATTTACAACATTATTGGACCACAAAAAAATGATTTGATTGACCAACAGTTACTTGATAAAATGCAAAACTCTAGAGGTAACTAAAAGGATTTTTGTAATAAACATTTTTTTTATTTTATTATCATTAACCACTTATAATTTTAAATATTTAAATATGGTAATATATTTATAGAGGAATATTAAACAATTTAATTTGAAAACTGTACATAACAATTTTATTTATCTACTATTTTCAATATTTGCATGATGTAAAATTAAAAATATTTTTTTGTCTTGTGTATAATATCTGGAGTAGTTGAAAATGTTCTGAATTAGATAAAGAGTTCAGTAAAAAGCTGGTAAAATTAGTTTTATAAGATTTTTTCTTTGATTTTTCGATATAATATCATATTATTAATATGTGTCTGCTTCAGACACTAATGAATCAAAAATATAATCTGTTGGAAATTTTTAATAATTTAGGAACATTTTCTACAAATCTAAAAAAGAAAACATTTTATAAAAATATATTTTTTCAAAACATAGTAAATTTTAATTAAAAATTTTTAGGTAATTTATTGATTGAATTATGTTTTTAGAATTATTTTCTTATTTATACGTATAAATATAGATAATATAATTTTAGTTGTGTAATCAAGTTGATAAATAGTTAAGTAACATTGTAACTTAATATTTTATTTTAGAAAATGTTACTGTCAATCATACATTAGGAATGCCACAAAAAAATGATAAAAAAATTAGTCAAGATGAAGATAAAATTACTTCTACATTTGAAGATACACTTTTAGAAAAAAGTAACATTATATTGCTAGGACCAACAGGATGTGGTACAAAATTTTTTTAAAAAATGATTAATTTTGTATTATTAAAATTTATAATATTATTAATTACTGTAATTATTATTTTTAGGGAAAACATTGTTAGCCCAAACTATAGCGAAGCAATTAGATGTACCATTTGCAATCTGTGATTGTACTAATTTAACTCAAGCCGGCTATGTCGGAGAGGATATTGAAAGTGTAATAGGTAAACTACTACAAGCTGCTAATCATGATGTTGAAAAAGCTCAGACAGGTAGTGTATACTTAAATAATTGTAAATAAGTTGAATGTATGTATACAACATTTTTTTACAAGATTGGTAAATAGATGTGATAGCCCCCCCCATCCGCCGGCTCTTGCAATAAGAGAGTCGCACATGCTCATTCTGTTTTTTCCGTAGTCGTGTTGCGCTCTTTCGTAAATACTGCCGTATATTATATTTTTATAAATTATTTTTGGTGTTAAATATCGATGTACATAACCCTGGTGTAAATAATTTATCCTGACACCCTATTTAAGTCGCTTACAGATGTAATTTTTATTCTTTAATAATATACATTTTATTTTGAAGTTATATATTTATTAAATAGTTTTAAATTGTACTCATTTTGATGACTATTTTTTTTTAGGTATTGTTTTCTTAGATGAAATTGACAAAATTGGTGCAGTCCCTGGAATTCATCAACTGAGAGATGTTGGAGGTGAAGGAGTTCAACAAGGAATGTTAAAGGTGAAATTATTTTTCATTTAATATACATGCTTAAGTTTATTATTTTAAAATTGATTAAATTGTATTTATTTAAAGAATAATTTATCTAGATTAATAATAAATATTTATATCAATGTTCTTTAACTGATTTTAATTATTATTTATTGAACTTATCATAATTCGTATCATTTTCATTACTATTCATATTTCATTCAAAGTTTTTGCTTTATAAAAATTGATTGTTTTTATATAAATAAACTTGTTTTGATATATTTTGAGTTCGATAGCAATAGATAGTAAAATTTATTGAAAATAAGTATGATGTATCATGTACTCAAATTATAAATGTTACATTTTTACTATAACTAACACAACATTTTATGATGAAGCAATGCACTTTTAATTGTCACATATTTTTTAATTTATGATATTTCCCTTTTTATTCAGTTCTTACCTTCTTAATTATAATTTAATCTAGTAATATCCTGAAAAATTTTATGTCAATATTTCACTCTACTATAGTTCATCTTTCTATGGTTTTGCTGCTTTAACTGATTTTTACTAATTTCTAATCTATGTCAATACACTAATTTGAAGTCACTGCTTTTACCATAAACAATTTTTAAAAGCAATTGCTGACTATAGGCTTGCACAAAACGGATTGTGTATTTCAGCATTTATTTCTTATTTGTCATTAGTTTATGTACATTTTTTTTTCCACGTGGAAATGTATAAAATAATATGAAATTTCTAAATTTTTCATATTTATTGACAAATTTAATTTGCATAGATGTTGGAGGGAACTGTTGTTAATGTACCTGAAAAAAATAGCAGAAAACTTCGCAATGAAACAGTACAAGTAGATACAACTAATATCTTGTTTGTTGCTTCTGGTGCATTTACAGGTCTTGATAGACTTATAAGTCGCAGAACAAATCAGAAAGTAAGGAGTATTTAGCTTTAAATATGTTATTTTAAATTTAAGTTTATTTATTTTTTATTCTTTAGAGTCTAGGATTTGGAGTAGGCATTGATACTGCAATGGGAAGTAGACGGGCTGCTGCTGAAGCTGATCGTACAGAATCATTAACTTCTTACACAGATATCGAAAAAGAAAATGCTGAACGAGATGGATTGTTGAAAAAAGTAGAACCAAGGGATTTAATTCAATTTGGAATGATACCTGTAATTAATTATTCATTTATTATCTAAACATTCTAAATTTTAAAATAATAGAAAATCTCATACTCAAATTATTTTATGTATTGGTTTTATTTAACTAGACTAAAAACTATTTAAAATGTTATAATAATTAACTTTAATATTTTTATTTTATCATTTTATATTTAAAAAATTATTTCATTTTATAAGTTGAATTAAATGGTTTTATAGCTAGAAATTTAAGTTAAACATTGTGTATACATTTAACAATTGATTCTTTATGTTTCAATGTAAATAATTTATATTCAATGACAGTATAATAATTATAAATAAAAAAAAAAAAATTTTAAAAATTAACTGCCAACATTTGGAGTAAAACTTTTCAATCATAAAATAATTGTAGTGTATAAAACACAAAAATAAATAAATAATAAATACCAAATATTTAATAGTAATTTAAAAATTTGTAAAAAATTAAATTTTTTATTGAAATAGTTTTTAATTATTTTAATATGTATTTTAGCTTAATCTGGGAGGTTAGGCTTAAATGTTTACTTTTAATTATTTTATTATTAATAATAATAACTATAAAATTAATTATAAGTAATTATTAATTAGATTAAAATAAGTATATGATTTAATTTTTAATTTTCAGTAAGGTTATTTTTTAAATTTATTTGAAACTATTTGATGTTTAATTTTAATTAATAATAATTGAATCTGTCATTTAAAAAAAGCCATAACTCCATAAAATATTTAGGAAACGTAAAAATACTGTTTTTATGGATCAAAATTAAATTTAGATAAAAACTGAAAAAGGGTTGAGTTATTTAATTCCCTTATAAAAAAGCAGCTATGATGTGGTAGTCTTGCAGGAAATACGCATTATTATTAGTTGAACACATCTATCACATAAAACTAGTTTTGAAAATGTGTGGAGAAATGGTCTTTTCGATTCAATTATATTATTGCAATTATTAATTTATACATATTTATTAGGAATTTGTGGGAAGGTTTCCAGTCTTAGTGCCATTCCACTCTTTAAATAGAAATTTACTTGTACGAATTCTCACTGATCCTAAAAATAGTACAATTAAACAATTCAAACTTCTATTTGACTTGGACAAGGTTGAATTAACTTTTACTGATGATGCACTTAGAGTTATTGCTTCACAAGCATTAGAAAAAAAAACTGGAGCTCGGGGACTACGAGCAATTGTGGTAATTATTTATTACTTAATTATTTTAAAATTTTCTTAATTATCTTTAATGATTTTATGTATACTGGTTATGAAATAATGAACAACTATGATATTAATATCAAAATACATTTTCAAAACAATACAGTTTTTTATTTTTTAACTTAATTTTTGTAGGTATAATTTATTTCACTGTATAAAATATATTTTAAATTGCTATAGGAATCCATTTTATTGGACCCTATGTATGAAATACCGGGATCAGATGTTGTTAGTGTACATGTCACAGAAGATGCTATCAATGGAAAAATTATTTTACTGTATGAGAGGTTGTCCAATTGATGAAGGACTAGCAAAAATAGACCAGAGCTAAAGTTGAACGAACTAATATTTTTTAATTTTTGTTTTTTATTGAAATATTGTTTACAACAGTTTATTTCTGAAAAACTTTTCAAGACTTTTTTTATGAAATATTTATTTTTATTGGTAAATTATCTGAGTTTGTTTATCTTTGAACTGCATAATACTTATATTTAATAAATATTATGTTATGTGCATTGCATTATAAAAGTATACTATAGTTTTTTTTTCTTTTCTTCCATTCGAATTGGATGCACTCCCTGGTGTTGGTGTTTTTTTCTCGAGTTAAGTACTTTCCATTGAACATGTGCTCATGTCATAACTTATGTTTTCCAACCTTTTAATAATACCGTCAAATGTGGTAACATTAGCCATAGGCGCAAATAGGTGGGGATTAGGGGTATTAGCACCCTCTATTCTACAATTAGCACCCTCAATAATATTTGTGTTTATGTATCAAAAACTTATTTTTGTCATCAGACATTTGATATTTAGAGTATAAAACTGTAATAAAATATAAATGAAAACAATGTTACTCGACAAACGTCAATTCACATTTTGTCGAGTTCACCGAAACCCTAATTTAAATTAATTTTAAAACTGGAACCCCACTGGAACCTTTATTTGTATTTATTTAAATATTAAATAATTCCTTATAGTACAGCTCATTAAATTCTTATAGTTTTAATATAAATTAAATACCCAATTAATACAGAGCTTAAGCATCCTCAGGGATTGTAAAAATTAATTTCTGTTTTAATTACAATCAAATTTCCGTTTTATTATACAAATACTCTGTTATTTAAAGAAAACTTTTTTTTTTCCTCCTCTTCAATATAAATAACCATACTCGATCATAATATTTATTCATATTAAAGAAAACATTTTTTAATAATATTAATTATATTTTTATATATAGCGTGGAGTCTTTCAAGCAACGTTTGACTGCTTAGGCATCTGTTTGCCGCTTGTCGGTGGGTCAGTTGGCTATCGAAGAAGATATAATATTCAATTACTTAATACAACCAACAAAAAATTTGGGCGGAGTACTTTAGCCATGATGAAGGCCGGAGAAGAAGAGCAGTAGATAGAGTGATACCTACCAAAAGCTGTAACGATGACTGATGAGGAGGTGGTAATCTTGATGAAAAAGATTTAGCATTCATTTTCCTAGGAATGCGTGGAAATGCATTCCTGTATAAATTTATATGAAAATGTATTTTATTATAAAATTTTTTATAAAAACAAGTGTTAATTTTTTTACTTGATTTTATCTAATATTAATATTTTCTATAAATACTCATGTTGTGTGTATTGTTTATATTGTTACAAACCCATTGTATTAGAACAAGATTGTAAACATATATAATTATATATAATTTAACATATATATTATAAACACATAAACACTGTATGTATTACATGTGGGGCTAAACACTGAATAAGCTTGTTCGAATGGACAACTGACACCACTCAATAGAGTGGAGTCAGTCGTTCGAACACCAGTCTTACGCGCAGACGTTTCTATTATAATTGTATATTTTTATGCGATTCCTTTAAATAAAACAAATACTAAATTAATGTCACTACTTATGTTTTAATCGCTTTATACCTAAACCCTCATTTCCTTCGTTATCCGTCTGAAAATTGCGAACTTACAACGTTACATGTGCGACAACGGAGCCGCACAGCAGAACTCAACCATTTAGAGGCAGTGGCATACCGACGCACAACAATATTCTAAATACGAATTTATGACATATACGTGTTATACAGAGTCCAACGATAAATAATTATATTCTGGACAAAAAAAAAAAAAAAAAAACTGAAAGCAATATAAAGAATAAAATATATATAATTTTACATTCAAATAATTAAAGGTGAAGATTAAGCAGTTATTTTTATTTATTATAATATATGTGTTACTACATCTGATAGCAATGTTTACGTATAAAGAATGTATTATATAAACATATTTACTTGGTTTTTGATTTGTATAATTTATAAAAATTATTATTTATTACGGCATATAGCTCGGGTGTGGGGATAACATTGTGAAATTACCAGCAATCTGCTGGTAAATGTTTTCCATCACAGTCCGACTACATTCCACCGCCAACCGTTTTCGCCTTTCTTCATCACTCTCAACGTCGTCGTCGTTGTTATGTTCATCGCTACCGTCGCCGTCAACATCATGCGTCTCAAACAAACACCGTTTGTGATCCGCAAGCGTCAAATGGTTTCGAATTACGTGCTCCCTTATCCCTTTGGATTTGAACGTCTCTATGTGTTCGATTTCGTATGCATAAGACTTTGCCCGAAGTGCGACGAATTCGTACATGATACGATCATGAATTTCGTCCTTGAACAGTCCGGGTATTTTCGCACGACTGCATAGCACGGATGATCACAGGGGAGATTAGACGTGTCCATTCGACGCAGTAACAACTTAAGTTGTTTGTGTTTTGTTTGCTAGATAATGATAAAAACCTTTCGTTTTTATCCTATAAACCAGGGATGGGCAACTCGAAGTCACTAGAGGGCCAATTTTTAGAAAATTTAAATCTAGCGGGTCAGAGCATAGAAAAAAAAAAGGTCATTCAAAATATGAATTTTAATTAGAATTTATGTATATGGAAATAATAAATTCAACACACATGATAGCATAATCCGAATGGTGCGAAGAAACTGATATAGTTAAATAGTTTGGTAACAGCTATGGTTGAAACCCATACTAATAAAAATATAATATAATTATTTATAAAAATAATTTGAATATCATTAAAGAATTGGTTAAGATGCATATGTTACTTACATTGGCGGATTTAAAGGTTCAAATAAAGTCGGCAAATCCAAAAGAGGGGCCTCGTAATAAATGTATCACTAAAATCCTTAGCCCCATTTTACAAAGCTACTCGCTACACTCGCGATACGAAAATGGAAAATAGTACATTAGAAATAACGTAATGCAGCGAAACTGATAATAAATCATTGTTCATATACTTGTATAGTGTACATACTCGGAAATTATATGAATTCTATAATCAATATTAACAGTATTTCTAACTATATCTACATTCGATCTTTTTTACTTTGTTTATAAATAAAATGTTCTATTTTTGAAGTATTCGGAGTACTCTTGAGTATTTCCTGTATATTTAAATTATTTTGTTATAAATAAAAATAGTAATTGTAAACGATATTACAATTTGTACCATAATTTTTTTTTCCGGTAAAATTTAAAAAAAAATTACTATCATTTTTCAGGGCCTCAGTGAATAATTTAAGAAGGGGCCCCGTCGGCATTCGCCGACTAAACGACCGTTAAATCCGCCACTGGTTACTTAGTAACATTCATTTCATGTTATTTAGTAACATTAATTTCATGTTACTTGTAACGTGCATGGAGTATTCCTTGTAACGGGCATAGAGTATTACTTGTAACGTTCATAGAATGTTAATGTAAAGCATTGTATTCATATTACAATTGAAGTTACTTTCTCAGGACATAAGCAGTTCCATACACATTACAATTACGTAAATGTCACTTTAAATGTAACATTACAAGTTACAAATTTATATTGTAAAAACATTGCTGAAATATTCCATTGCACAGTGGGTAATATATATTACCTATTATAATGTAAGACTTAAAGATAAATATATATTTATCTTTAAGTCTTACATTAAAGTTAGAAAACTTTTAAGCAGTACTATGTTCTTTTGGATATAACGCAATGTGTCTTTCTTGGACTTCCTGTGATACAGACATTTCAAATTGATAATTATTGCTGTTGGATGTTGATTGAAATTCAAGATTTCCCATTTAATTTATTTGTTTTCGTGTAATCTTTAGCTATTTATTTGTATAAATATAAACGTTTTTTAAAATTATTAAAAAATTTAACTTATGTCTTACCATTTTTATATTTATATCGAATAAGCCTATTATTATACGGCATTACATTTTTTTTTACCAATAAATAAAAAATAAATAACTAATAAATACGTAATAATCTCTGATTTCTTCATTTACCTATTCACATACATTATTTTGTTCTTTAGATTTTTAAGAATTTTTAAGTATATATATGCAGTAAAATCACAATTATTACGGGTAAGTTGTTATATTAAAATTATATAAAATATAATGATAAACAACATAGTAGTAAAAAATGTTTAAATAGTTCATTTTTAAATTATACTCAAAATTAAATAGTTAGTGCCTACCCACTGTGCAATGAATTGTTGTATAAATGTTTCAGCGACACTTTACTGGAACCTGTAACATCGCAATGCGAGTTGCATATGTGTATGAAAAACATTGCTGCAACACTTAATGCCCTGTTTTTGCTGACACTGAGGAAACATTGTAAGCACATATTTTGAAATATAAATGCATTGTTTCATTGCAATACATACCCAATGTGTTCAAGTAATCTGTATATAACATCAAAAATACATACCTATAATGTTATGTTGACACATTACCCCACTGTGCAATATTATGTTGCATAGATGTTTCAAATCAAGTTAATAATTTAATTATTTTAAAACGAAAAAAAAGAAAAAATAACATTCAACATTGGAAATTGAACCACTGCTAGGTGATAATCTCCATATCTACCTACCTAACTGACCTACGACTAACACATCCTAAACTACCCCTAACATGAGAAGTACGTAGTAAAATTGTTGTATTTATACCTATACTATACTATTTTCAGAATCGTATTTTTACAGCAAAGATTAAAAACTGTTTGAGTCCGCCAGACATTAGTATTGTTGTAATAAAAAGTTATTTTATAAAATAAAGATTAAGATACTCTATATTATAAAGTGGATACCATACATTTCTTTTTTCTAATACTTCACGGAGAAAAGAAAATTAGACATTTATTCATTATGTGAACATAATTACTAATTAGGTAGGTTACCTACCTACCTACCTAATATGAACCACAATAATTGTATTTTTTATA